AAAGTGGGAGTTATTTCGTTTTTAAAAGTAGGACTTATTTCGTCAATTGGTGGGACTTATTTCGTTACGCGTTTTTTATTTTAAGTGGGACTTATTTCGTTTTGAATGGGAATAAATTCGTTTTGTAAAGTGGGAGTTATTTCATACCCCTAAATTTATATTTTGGGTGGGATTTATTTCGTTTTAAGTGGGACTTATTTCATTTTCATAATTTTGCATTTTAAGTGAATGCTTAATAATTTTTGCCGTTATTTGTTGCTCTTCACGTTGTTTCTCATTGAATTTCATAATGTTCTTTTTGTTGCTTTTTAAAAAAAATTTATTGTATTGTAGAATATGCTTTCGAAAAGTTCCGTTATTTCTTGCTCTTTACGAAATGAATGGTATTGTTTCAAATTTGTTGTTAAGTGTGCTAGTTTACAAGACCTTATCATTATATTGATTAGTTAAGTTTGTGAATTTCAATAGTGAACATGAGTGTGACATACGAAATAATTGCAGGGAAGAGGAGTAACAGCAAGCTTCTTTATATTTTTTTTGAGAAACAATTATATATTAAAAAGTGCACTAAATTAGAAAAACATTTTTATGTTTGTTATGTAAAGGATTGTCCATCACGAATAATGTTATTTGGCAGCGAGTGCATTAAAGCAAAAAATTGTAAAGCGCACAATCACGATAATCAAGAGGCTCTGTACAAAGAACTAAAATTTTTAAATAATGTAAAAAGAAAATGCGCACGTCTTAATGAAAAGCCAACTGAAAACAATTGCGGTGGAAGTATTCGCAATATTTTTGTGAATACTAGCATGGAGTAAGTACCACCCACATGATAATTATTATTTATTAAGTAAGTACTTAATAAAGTCTTTGCAGAAATCAAAACGAAAGCAAAAATATTGTCTTTGATAAAATACAGCGGAGTTTGCAGTATATTGCGAATAAAAATTTTAAAAATTCTCCCAAAACACCGGCAGAAGTGCAGGAAGTTTTCCAAGACGCAGCAGTTTATGATAAATTCGGTTATTCCAAATTAAATGGAAATAAACAATGGCAGTTTTTCAACATATGCTACCAAGAAGAAGACTTTGCATATTGCGTTTTTTGTTCCGAAAGAACTGTTGAACTGATGAAAGAATGCATTCCTGTTAATTCGAAAAGAAACATTTTAATTGATGGTACTTTTTCTGTACTTCCTCTAGGAAGCTTTAAACAACTATTAATCTTACATTGTGAATACTTTGGTTCGGTAATTAATTTCATTCATAACTATATATGATTTATATTATGTATACATATGTATATATTTATTATTTTTTCTATTTTAGGTATTCCTCTTTCTTTTCGTACTGATGACCAAAAAGTCTCTAAAAGCATATCAGCATTTATTTAGTTATATACAAAGGAGCATTATTGATTTGTCACAAGCAACTTTTATAACAGATTATGAAACAGGATTGAGAAGCGCAATTGAAAAAAGTTTCCCTGATTCAAAAATGTTTGGTTGCTGTTTCCATTATTGCCAGGTGTAGTCGTTGGTCCGCTATTCACAAATTTAACGCGTTCAGAATTCAGCTACTATGAAAAATTAAAGTCTTTGATTTACTCTTTGTACGAAGAACGGAACGGTTTATTTTTCTGTGTGTTACTCCGGTTGCTGACCAACGAATGTTGGGCAAGTAAAAGGCAAAGACGGAGCAAACTCACAGCAGCGAAAATATGTACATAAGTATATGAATTCAAATTCATCCAAAATAGGATAACGGCAAATTGTACATGCATATGTATATAAGCAAATTTCAATTGTACATATGTAAGTGTTTATGTATGTACATACATAAGGCAAACTTCAAATTTATACATAGCAAAGCAAATACAATAAGAAGTGAATACAAAGCAAATATGATAAATGAAGAATTCGAAAATATAAATCAGTCACAATGGATGATAGGGTAAGCGGGCGTTCTGCGACACCAGGCATTGCGTCGATTCATAACCATGAAGGACAAAAGGCTCGCTCAATATATTCGGCAAAATAAAGAAGCGTCTAGAATTTATCACAAATTTCTATCTCTTCCATTATTACCTGGAATGCACATTTCGGATAGCTTCCAACTACTAACCGAAGATTTAGGAAAATTGAACGCTTTAGATAGATTCAAATCATTTATAAAATATTTTGAGAATCAATGGATGCAAAATGTACAATATTCCCTTTTACAGAATATTTACAAAAAGATGTTATGATTTCATTATAACAGATCGGTCCACATAACTTTTCAGTTTTCGATTCTGAAATCCGCACTACGTCTGCAATAGAAGCTTACAATGGCGTCATAGGAAAAAGCATTCCAAAGAAGGCTACTTTTTTCAAATTTGTAGCATTTTTACAGATGCAAGAATTTGAAAAAGGAAGAAAATTTGAACTATTGCTGAATACCAATGGTAGTGTGGGAAAAAAGCGTATTAAAAAGTCCTGTGTTTTGAAAGCAGATATGATTTCGAAATTCAAGAATGATCTCTTACAAGGTACTATAACTCCTTCTAAATTCCTTGACCAACTGGTGTTATCAAAAAATAATTTAATTGTACAAATGGAGCCTGATGAAGATCTTTTTGAAGAATTATCATATTTGGAAGAGGACATTGAAGACGAGTCGTTAAACCATATTGAAACCAACCAGAATACAATTAATAATAATATGTGTGTGGTTTGTTTCATAAAGCAGCCAAATATCTTATTTTTTCCTTGTAAGCACTTGAAAATTTGCAGTGAATGCTGTCTTACAATGCAAACTCACAAAATTGATCAAACCAGTAAACTAGTATGTCCATACTGTCGTGCAGAAGCTCATGAAACCCTTCAAATATTTATCTGATAAATAAATGATTTTTTTATGGAGGGGTGCGATAGAGCCATGAAATATAAGGCCATTATGGCTTTATTTCTCATTTTTTTCTTATGCAAAAAGTTATATATTGGACATTTCGTAAAAGGGACAACCATAATTTTGTGTCCTTATCTCTCATGGCTCTCCTTTTTTTGTTATAAACTACTTTATACTTACTATAATAAAAAAACTTTAAAGAAATGTGTACAAATAGGTACCGAACTTAACTACTGGAAAAACAATATTAAAAAAAATTGTTGATGAATTACGTATGTATGTGTTTTATTATATTTTTAGTAGGAATTTGGAATTCGTGTTCCATGTTTTCTAATATCACCATTACAAAATACAACTAATCCCAATACCACGTTAAAACTATAATACCGTTTACCATGCATTGGATCTTCAAGCCATTTATAAAGGTCGATAATTTTAATCTGATGGTCCTTCCGAAACGGTTTCCATCTTAATAATAAGAACAATTGATCTGTACTTAATCCATTTACGAATCCAAACGTTGTTACTAGTAGGCGTTCTCTATACGTTCCTTGACCGAAAAAAGAATTAATAATAAATTCTGGAACTCTATCAAAATTCGTAATATCCATTCCATTAAGAAGCCTTCTGCGAGCTTGCATACGATTTTTCTTTATTATTTCTCTGCTTTGATTATTCATATTATTCGACGTGTGTTTTTTTTCGAAGAGCCAAATACTTCTTATTTGAAATCGCATTAAACAGTGAAAAAGTGGGACTTATTTCGTTTATGAAAGTGGGACTTATTTCATTTTGAGTGGGAGTTATTTCATTTCAAGTAAATTTTTAAATCATTTCATTTTGGTGGGGCTTATTTCGTTTTCAAAAGTGGGACTTATTTCGTGGGAGTTATTTCATTTTTTAAGCAATTTTTGGTGGGATTTATTTCGCTTTAAAAAGTGGGACTTATTTCGTGGGAGTTATTTCGTAGACCCTTGGGATATGTTAGGCCTTTCAAGAAAAAACAATTTTGATCGAAATACATGTGCGAGAGTGGTAGCAT